AAAACAAGGACGTTTTACATTAATAGAGGGGGATTAATTGTAATGGAGCATGGATAAGATATTCATATTATTAATGCATTGATATAGATAATTAGAGCTGTTTTTGGAAAGTTTCTAGAATTGAGACTAGGTTGGTGGTCCATGTGGGATCCACCATGGAATATTTTAGAGATGCTTAAGGTAGTTATCTAAGTGGAATCAACTTCTAAATCCTTTTAATAGAGACAATTATCTTTGTAGAGTCCACCATCAAGAACATTCTAGAAAGTTTCAAGATACTTGGATAATATATAAATAAGATTAATTGAAGCTAAATGGATATTCAGTTAGATATGACTTTAGTTCCTTTCTCTCAATAATATTTTAGTTTTTTTCTAGTTTGCTATGTCTTATGTTGTAATGTGATTTATGGTGCTATGAATTAAAAGGATTTTAGATCTTAGAGAGAGTCTAATCCCATTTCACCATATGTACATGCATTTAGCATTATGTTATTCATACAACAATATATTACTGATTACACTGCTTATTTTTATATTGTTTAAGTCTAGCAAGCAATTTATGAAATAGCTATTTCTTTGATACCATTCACTAAGTATTAAACAAAATTGAGTGACAATGAAATCAATGATGTTCAAATCCTACCATTTTTTATACAACTTCTATTTAGTTGCCAAAAGAAATGTTGCATTTGTATAAAAGATATGAAAATAGTTAAAAGATTATTTAAATGTAATCAATAGAAGAATACTGGGCATAATTTCTTAACTTGCAACAAACTAATTTAATTCTATTGCTGATATGCCACTAAATGTGATATTTTATTTTATTTTTAATAATTATATTTTGAATTAAATTATGATGGCATTGTAAGTTAAATAAAAAAATTATATATTTTTTATTTTTAAAAGACTATTATTAAATTTTAGACTTAAAAAAATAATATGTTATTTTTTATTAATTACAATAAAATAAAACTATCCAATTAAGCTCAAATATACAAGGTACATCTAATACAACTACTTTTACAATCCAAAAAAAATTACTTGTAGATTTGCTACCAGCCCCACATAATATACTAAAATGTTGATTTTTTTCTATTCTATACAAAACAAAGTCATCCAAAACAACCATAACTTTATAAAATTCTTACAAAATTATCATGGACACAAATTTCTTAAAACTAACACTTAAAAAACCATATCAATTTTTCTCTCAAATTTTGATATCCAATCAATAATAAAAATCCTAAATTTGTCCTAAGTACACAATTTTGTACCTTAAGGTTAGGTTTTAACTCAAATTGATAACTAATCCTCTCTAAGTATCAATCTAAGATTTAACTAAGTAATTTTTACTAAAAAATATTCTTTATTTTTATATTAAGATGCCTATAATATTATTTTTTTGACATACTTTTTTTTGACTTGTTTATGGCCCTATAAAGTAAGTAAAAACTCTTTTTATTAAAAAACATCATTAGCACTAATTTATTTTTACCACCTCCTTAACTTTTATTTATGTTTCTAAAGTGATACGCTACTATAAGCTCTTCCTTCATGTAATCCTTTTCTATGTCTTTTACCTAATAATTGTATTATAATACAAAAACTTTTTTTCAATTAAAATTTTAGAGATTTTAATTTTTTATAAAAATATCTTTATAGTTTCATATAAACATACTTTAAAATGCTATAAAATACATAGTAATAAAGATGGTAATAAAAATAACAAAGTTAAAAAATGATATTATAATATTAATTTTAGTATTAATTTAATCTATTATTAGAAATAATATTAAATGTCAAAAATATCATCCAATAATAATATAAAAAAAATTAAAAATAAAAATTATTAATTTGAATAATATTTTTTTTATAAAATAATAAGTGATATAAAAATTTCAATATTTATTATAAGTGAAAGTAAAAAAAACCTCATGAATAGTCATAATTATATTTTATATATTTTAATAAAGAATTTAGAAATTTATTTTTATTTTAATAAAATATTTTTTATTTTATTTTACATCTTTATACATTAAAATGTTTTGTAGTGTACACTAGAAAAACCTAATTACATAGCAAAAAGACATATTAGTTGATGATTTTTTTATAGTATCTATATATTTTATATTCAATATATATATATATATATATATATATATATATATTTCATCATATTTAGAAAATAAAAATAAAAATAAAAATAATCAAATTATATATTTTTCTATAAAACCATTAGTGTGTATATAAAGATACAGTTTGCTTCAGAAAGGAACAAGTTGATTGCATGTAATTTGAAGATAAGTAATATGAATTTTTTAATTGTTAAATTCAATTTATATATATATATATATATATATATATATAGATATATAATCAACTAATAATTGTACTAGAAACTTCTGGTTTGATTAAATTTGAATTTTTTCTTTCTGTAAAAGAAAAAATTTATATAAATTTATTTAGATATATTATATTGTGTAGACTAAATTCATAAATGTAAAAAAAAAAAAAAAAAAAAAAAAAAAAAAAATCTTACAAATTTTTGCACATATTCCAAAACTCTATGAAATGTTCATTGTCAACAGTAATATAAAAACGTCCATGTCTGAGAACCATCAAAACCCCAAGCATCTATTAATTGTTTTTTTTTTTTACTTTCATCCACATTTCTGAATAAGCTCCAAATCTCAACAGGCTGCGATGATGAATTGATTTCACGTTCGGAATCATAAAAATTCATGACATTCAAAAGTGTATGCTGCCCCTTCAGTAACGCCATTTCCACTGCTGCTCGTCACTGCAAATAAAACCAAAATACTTCTAAATTGGAAAGAGAGAAAAAAAATTACATTCAGCTTTATTGGCTCAATTGATGACAATCAATTAAACCATCATATGCATCCTTATATTTCACTGGAAACATGAGTTTGCTAGTAGGATCTTGCGCAGAGTAGACCCGACTTTGTTCAAACGGCTTCATAAGGCCGGCTGGATAATTGCGGACACATCACCCATGGTGGCAAAGTTTCGGTGGGTTTCTTGCTTCTCGGGAGTGTGAACAATAGAGGCGGCAACCAACAGCGACCATAGCCTGAAACCAAGTCTACCATGATACTCAACATGACGACGATCAAGAGAGCTCCTACCCTACGGGCACGCTGCATCTCCAAGTCACCTGAGGGAACTCTATCTGGATCCACAACTGCAACCCAGTCACCGAAAGGCAGCTGATGCGGGTCCAAGTGGTGATATTGCATGCAATTCCAAGCATTGCAACCTTGCTTCGATTGCTCCAAATTGAGCAGGCACCTTGACTTTGTTAAGGTCACGACATGGAAGTCTCCCCACAATCCTGCCCAAGACTCCTAGGTCCATTCCTGATAAGGTTTTTTTTAGTGTTCTTCCAAAGACCCGAGGGGAGACTGCTACCCATATCTTCAGATGGCCATTCTTGCAGTTTATGTGAAAATCTAAACTTATACCTTTGGCACATTCATTCTGAATTGGTTTCTTAAATATTTCAATCTTAGAAGCAAAGTTACAGTAGGACAAAATTTGTTTGATAAATAATGAAGAATTTGAAGAACGAATGTGTGTTTATATTACTAAAGAGGTCGAATGTGGGTTCACAAGATGTACAAATAACAACAACATGTTGCATACTGTACAGCATATTGATATATTGATATATTGATACTGCACAGCTATATTGATATACAAAAGATAGTAAAACGTGTGTTCTTCCTGGTTTAAAATTATTAAAAAAAACTCTTTCCTAAATACTTTTAGCAGAGCAATAGAAATGCTATGCACTACAATCAAAAAGTATGGTCATTCTCTCTGATACAACTTATTCTATTTAAACTTTTAATTGTAATTTTAATTATTAAAAAAATAAAAAATAGAGGTTAGAAGTTAATATAAAATATAGTGTTGAGAATACTTCTAAGGCTCTTTTAAGCAACATATGGTTAATCATATGGCATCAAGCACCTAACTCGTTGTTTATTACAGTATCAACTTAAATTAAAAAATACATATGTAATAAGTACATAGATCGTTTAGATAGACACCCTCTTAAGCTCTGTAGACACACTTTTTTTTGTTGTGTGGACACCCCCTCCATGTTAGACCAATGATATACCATTGCTACCAGCTAGATACTAATAAAACTAAAAAGTAAAAAAATAACAAAAAACAATAACAATTTACAACACAATAATATCAACAATCCTATACACCTATCAAATATGCTACGCTATGAGGATGTTGTCATTAGTCCTTGTATCAAAAAAAAAAAAAAAAAAAAAAAAAAAAGAAAAGGACCCTTATCTCTTGTTCAAACTTCCACATAAATAATGTTAATAGCACTTAAGTCTATCATACTCCATATATATTCAGCAGAAAATATTTAAGATACAATTAGAACGTCTCTGCTTCAATAAAAATCCCCAATCTTCTACTAAAATAAAATAAAAAATTACGTAATTTTAGAGCCATAATGTTGAAACTGTAGCCATATTGTATCAAATACATTAAATCAATATTAGAGCTTTTCCTTGAATACATCAAAAAGTTCTCTACAGTACAAACTAAAGAGACCCAAAATGTGAAATACGTTTGTCTATTACAATGATTGAATGGTCTTTTATTTTTACTAGTTAAATCTTTGATAGAATATGTGTTTGTACAATTCTTAATTACATTATTTGCTTTGTGATTCATCCTTGTGTTTTTTATTATTGTGTATCAAACATTCGCTTTATTATATTGGTCCTGGCGCAAAGCAAGGGGCATTTTTGAAGATTTCCGAAATTTTACAAACTAACAAGCACTTATTTTTTACCTTATGCAATACAATGTACTGTGTTAAACAAGTTCTTGTACATCAATAATTCCATCTGTATCAGATACATCAATGCACATATCGCCAACAAATGGTTGGGTTGCCATTAATATTGCTTGGTCTCCACACACTTTTTTAAACCGTGATTGCAAGCCAAAATAAAGTTCAGAGCTCAATTGATTGAAATAATGAAATTACAAGCAATTAGACGTTCCAGATATGTGCCTCACACTGAAACCAAAAGACAATGAAGATTTGAAGGTCAAATTGAAAGCTGAATGTCAAGAAACTTAAAATTGGATAAATTACTAACTCACATTGCAATATCCTGGACTAATATCTTAAATTAAAACCAAGCATAAATCCAAAACAATCAAATTGAAATAAAAATGAAAAGACCAGGAATGACTGAACGGATGGGGATTGGTCAGTGAATCCTCTTCATTGCACTGCACAAACATCGCTTGGTCCGAAAGCTTTCATGTCCACATTCACCGGCAGTTCCAACTTCCACCCAGACGTTTCTTTCCAACTCCAATAATATGTAGTTTCAATTCGTAGGAAAATTTGTCCACAACCCACGTCTCCTCAACAGACTGGATACAGCTATATATTCGTACGCCATGTTTTATCCCTTCACTTCCTCCTACTACGCTGCACATTGCCATTCCAAGAGATCCATACATCCAAACATCACGCATCCGCCAACATCTTGCTGCTCGCCAGCTATTTACGTATATACACCACCTTCCCCCACTTGGATGCTCCCCACCCCACTCCCCACCCATTCATGTGCACACCTTCTGCCACCCTACATCCTCTTCTTCATTGACGGGGCTCTCGGGATCTTGCGTAAGATCGCGTCGTCCAGCTTCCTGTACTGCACGCTCGCTGCTTCCGATGCCTTCTGTGCATGGTGATCGATCACATCCTCGTACTTGTCGAAGATGAACGGAACCACGTGAAACCACACAATGCCTGTGCCAAAACCATCGTGTCAATTCATCTGCACACCAAGTCGCCTTCACTCACATTCCACTCCCCAACGCCCACAAACCAAACACATTCTAGGCGCATGATGTGTCAATCTACTACAATTCCCCCGCCACCATTGCCGCAGAATACTGACAACCATCCTATCTGATATTGCATCAAACATCAGTAACAATCGCAAAAAAATGCATATATACATACTACGACGCCTCAGAGTCGCTGCGAAGGAGCACCCCATCTTACCAATCCACACGCAGGTTAGCAAGTTGAACCAGGAGCCGACAATCGACACAACATACAAGGAAGCTACCACCTGCAAGGCAACGTCAACCATTCATCAAAGTGCTCACAACCTCTGCATCCGTGCCCTTGTGAACACATCACACAAAAAGGCACTCTCATTAAAGACATTTTAACTCTTGCACACACCCTCACCAAGTATCCAATGCTAATGCACGCACTATACAAACAACACCGGTCGATCGCACGAGTACCCTCAAGCAGCGTGGTCGGAAAAATGAAGACCTACCACAAACCATACCCGACGTCCACGACAAGACCTCGCGCTTGAAAGCCCAGTTCACTACTAACGTGCCAAGCACTTACCAATAAAAACAGCTTGAAGTCCTTGCCAAGCGCAACGGTACGAGCGATGTGCAAAGCCTTGTTAACTTCAATCCGGATGAGATTAGCGGTGTTCATAACAAAATTTTCGGAGAGAGACAGCTCCGGTACCGGTGGACCAGGCCTGGGCAAAATTGACAGAAAAAAACACATTATTCCGCGACAATTGGCCATGAAAGTAACATCTAGATGTTCAATCTAGAGCAAGGAATTCCTGAAGTGAACTGAATTACAAAAAGTTTAAAATATGCATGAGATTCAGGCTTCATCAATATAACTTGGACCAAGAATACTCCCTACACAGTGATTGTGCTGTAACAGTGCTCTTAGAATCATGCGAGGAATAAATTGACCTTGTTCCATGTAGGACTAGAAAAGAACCTGTTAATCAGAGTAGCAACGTTCGACCAGACAAAGAGAATGACGACCACGAACAGGAGGATGTTGCACACCAATGTAAGAAATGTGTAGCCAGATTTCTCCAGAAGAATCCAGAGGAGCGTCGAACCGCCCAGAGTTCCACCGGAGAGGTACCGGTCTCTCCAGAGGGCCGAATCAGCGACTGCGTCCAAACACCAACGAATCAATGCATCGAAAATTTAAGTTTTGACTGGGTACACAGAAACTCACAAGATGAAAATGCAATTCCAACCTAAAATACAAGTACACTCGAAAATACTGATCATATGCCCGCTGCCACCAGAGAGAGGAGAATATCGATGCAGGTCGTACCCAGTAAGACTATGTAACGTCTAGCTGATAAATTGAACCATTTAAATATATAAATATATAAATAAATAACTAATGGCTGGACTTTTCACCAAACGATCTTTTCGGGCACGCCTGGAGAAAGGTTTTACCAAATTGATCATACGCCAACTACTACAGACATTGTCATGGTTTCTAAAGGGCAAAAAACATTTGAGGTCGTCACAAATAAATATTCTCGACCCCTTCATTCGGGAATTCGGTTCCTGGAAACTGGACAGGAGTAAGAAAGAGCACACAGGAATAGAGACTACTATATACTACACTCTGACGCACCTTGAGCTAAATTCAGTACAATGCTAAAAGATTAACATGTAAAGGATTAGGCGTTATCTCGTGGGAGACACATACAAAACATCTTGACGTCCTGGACTTATAAAAGAGAAGAATAGCTGAGTCAAGCAGGAGATAGATAGATCTGAAAGGCGCAATAACTTACTAACCAGAGCCATTCACGAGAAAGAGAACCAAAACTGGAGTCAACTCTATTGCCAATGAGCTCAGTACCAAGAAGAAACTAGCAAAATGTACTCAATGGTACATTACATTAATCTCACTTGAACAGTCCAAAAACAAGACGACGCATGTAATGATAAGCAGAGTAACAAGAAAGTAGAACTGCAAAATACAGATCAAGTAAGATGGCAAAAAGAAACGAACATCGAAAGCGTGAACAAATTCATGGATCCTCGAGCTACAGCTTCCCAGATTATGTTAGACTACCGGCAAACAAGTGGCTACTTAGGAATTGAAATTGCTGCTAGATGACCGAAGCTAAAAAGCCCATTCACATAAGACCAAGAAGTGTTGCATAGAGAACCCAGCCACACCCGTGTGTGTGGTCCAGTGTGACTTTACTTAGGAACATGGTGATAGCATATAATAGATCCTGAGAGTATATCGGTGTTACCTAAGCCTCCACCGAGAAGCTGGTGCACGGTCTTATCCTTCGTCAAGAACCGATTGCTAGGTCCGTACTCGGAAGTAGGAGCAGTCTGAGAAGCAGGCATCTTGTTAACACTTTCCATCACAGAGTCTGGGATGCTTTGCGTCAAATCACTTTGTTCTGACATAGTGTTTGATTTGAAAGTTCGACCTAAACGCAATCACCTTGGATCTGCAAAATTCAGAATGAGTCTAACTTAAAAGGCCCCAAAATCTAATTAGAGCCACAAGATGCAGAAGAAGATGGAAGGAAGAAACTGTCCAAGATCACCAGCCTCTGAATCAATCGAGCCACGAAGAAAAACACACAGAAATATAACAAGTAAAAAATAAGCGAGACGAAGTACGAAAAGCTCCCACCGATCCTTGGAAGGACGTATTACCACACAGAGTAGAATCCTCCACCAACAGTCTAACTTTGCAAGTCAAAAGGAAGCAACGAGACCACGCGCCTTCGCGAGAACAATCCACAAATTCAAAAAACAAAAATTGAAGAATCAAGAAAATAAAAAGATGGCCGAAGACGCCATCAAGCACGGCCGAAGTGCCCGTCTTCAATTCCGCCGCACTCACAGTGAAGACCAAGGAACACGCCCAAACTTTACGATGCTCTCGACACCACTCTTCTTAATCTCCCAAAACGATCCGCTTCCAAACACCGTAAACTGAAACAAAATCTCCTCATCCCGCATCCAAAGACACCACCCCACAAACAAACACAAACACACACACACACACACACACACTCGTTCTTCCTGTACCCTAACCCCACCAAGGCGACAACTCGAACGAGCACCAAAAAAAATCCAACTACGGCACATCAACACTACATCAAACTCCCTTCTCCAATGCTCGACTCAGATCCCACGAACTGCCCAAAATACTCATCCACCTGGACCTTCCCACCCTTGCGAATTCCCAACCCCGCTGCAACCACCACTCCGACGTGGAACTCTGCGCAGACCCATCAAAGCGAACACACTACTCACCAGGGAATGAAACGACGTGTGGCAGGGTTCAGAATTCCTCGCAGTGGACAGGCTGAGGCGAGGAACGACCATCAGCAGCAGCAGCATTGGACAGAGTAGTAGTAGCAGTAAAGCAGAGCCAGCTAGCGAGCGGGGGGGGGGGGGGGAGCAAAGAACGCCTCCGCGGCCACGGACGGTCGTCGGTGATTCACGGACGCGGTATCAGGCCCCACTACGATGTCGACGACGCCTTGGCGCGGACACCGCGCGGTGACCCATACCCGCCGCGACCACCACACAGAGCGTGCCCAGAGCCGAGGAGAAGGGGGATGAATGGACACGGTAATGGGCGTGATTGTGGGCATGGGTCAAAAAGCGCGTCGCCATCGCATCCTTGGGCAGTTGGACTGCACTGTTGACCTTTCTTTCTGCCCGTTCCCGCCCTGCCGTTGCATGACGCCGTCGGCCGTCTGCGGCCCCGGTGGTGGTGGCGGCCTTGCTCACCGTCTCGGAGCTTTATTTCGCTGGTTTTTGTCTGTTAGCTTTCCAATGTACACAATGGAATGCATTCCAATGATAATTTCAATGATGTGGAGACTTTTATGTATATATATATATATATATATATGGTTGTGATGTCACAAGAAAAAATCATGGTGGTTACAGTGTAAAACATGAAGGGGGAGTTGTTACTAAAATATCCAATTGATACAGATAGTCGTTTTTAAGATGTCTTATTGTATTGTGTGTGTGTGTGTGTGTGTGTGTGTATATATATATATATATATATACTTCAATGACAGTCATGTTTTCTCTTACATACTATGTTGTGGAAGTCTATAATGTTTTTTAATAATGATGTTTTCCCCAAATTTGTTCTACTTCGAATTGCAAATAATATTTAATAAAACTCTCTTGCCACATGTTGAAATGCATTATATATATATATATATATATATATATGTGTGTGTGTGTGTGTGTGTATGTATGAGCAAACCTTGGATAAACACTTGTAACCAGATAATATCATATAAATTACAATAACACCCACTGTTAAATAAAAATTAGTTAATCTTCAAAATCGAAATGCATATCATTGTGCACTTATGCATGTAACATATTTTCTTCAGACCAGAAAGTATATAAGAGAACCTTCTCGCATCCTATTCAATTGCCTTCTACTGTTGTTGTTGTTGTTGTTGTTTTGCTTTTCGTTTATTTCTTTCTTCTGATTATTTCTTAACTTTTAGTTCCTTTTTAATAAAATATCATAGGCCTTTGTAGTCTCTTTGGGACCAACAAACGGATGGTGAAGGTAGGAGTCAAGCACAAACTTACAAAACAACAAATAAATGTAAAATATGAAAAAAATGGAAAAAATGAGCTCGTTTCATGACCTTTCCTACAAAGGGCTTTATCATGCGCCACCCATCTACGCCATTTATCAAACAACTAATTACTCAATGCACATAAACTCTATTACCACACTAATTCCAGTATAATTATGAATCGAGACCAAGGGGCCCAAGGGCCGATGCTCTTCTACACAGGCGAGGTCCGGAAATCCACGTCACACGGAACGAGGTGCCAGTTGGACAAGCATCCAATCAGATCCCAGCTCATTCTTTTCGGACCTCTCAGCGACTCGATCAATGAACACCCCCCCCATCGCAGTGTGAACAGAGCCCACCTGACCGGATCGTGGACAATATCTGACGTCGTTGGATGATTGATTTATTATGGATGAATTTATTATTGTGGATGAATGATGACAGTGTGGACGGGAATGACTCTAGAATGTAATCCTGGAATCGGTATTATTAGTTCTACAAAAATGGGTATGTTCATATGGATGGATGGATAAACGGATGAATGGATAAAACTCTGATCATACTACAACAACAATATAAAAGCACACTAATTATATATATGTTTATAATAGGTTTTCACATATTATATAAATATGGTAAATATAACTTTAATTATGTTTACTAACAAAAAAATCTAAGCTTTAGTCAATCAGCATAAATAGTGTCAACCATTTACTTCAAAGTATTGTCAATGTTAAGAAAGTAAAGTAGTATAAAGATTTGAAAAGGATAAATTCAACATGAATAAATAAATAAATATATTATTTTTTGAATACCCATTTTTGAAAAATGAAAATATCATAGAATATTATTTGAAAAAACAAATCCTCCATTCTTGCACATTAAATGAAATAGTTGAATCATTCACATTTTGAGGAAAATGAGAAATTTTGAAGAACTTATTTTTAATTTGAGTTGAGAAAAAGAGAATTCAAAGTTGTGAAGAGGGGTTCAGGGAGAAGAATTCAGTCGTAGAGTAACTTTGTGAATTTGTTAAGTTTATGGTGATTTTTTAAATGAAAACAAGGATTCTAATTTTTGATCGTATTGATTGAAAATAGATGTGGATAATATTTTAAAATAACTGTGAATCAGATTTGGGAACCATAGATGATTTAACCAAGAATAATTTGAATTATTGTTTTAGATCGAACACTTGTTTTTGTAACAGAAAGAACCTCCATTTTTCATGTAGACAATCTGAGCTGAATTGTTCATTCATAAGTTGGTTGCCAACATTTATTATCTGTATTTGATTTTTATGATATCAACATATGCCTTTATATTCTAGATTTTAGACAAAGCCTCTGTGGAAAAAGTTTTGTTTAGGAAGCACAAATCCTATCCTCAAAGTGTTATAATTATTATTAAAATAAACGAAATATTAAATAACAAAACACTCACACACAAAAATAAAAAGTCTGGTCACAACAACTCTAGCTCTCTGCATAGCTCTTATCTATATTTTTAATTTTTTAAAATTTTCACCAAATATATATATATATATATATATATACACACAAACATAATGAAATATCTAAACTCAAAGTCTAATACAAATTGATCCAATTTACAAAAGCCTTCAACTAATCCAATTAATCTAAACAATATGGATAAAATTATTGATTTGTTAATGCTTACAGAAATAACACATTAGATTGGTTATAAAAATTCCTTCTCAATTTAACAAATCAATCAAAAAAAACTTTATCTTAAGGACATGTATTTCTTAATATTTATTTCCATCAACCAAAAATAGACATTTCAGTGTTTATTTTAGAAAATACCATTGTTTTTGGAATACAATTGGTTTATTCTTGTAGTACGTACATCAATGATGTACAATTGGAATAGCAAGTTAATAACAATTAAGTACTTCATTGCATATATTTCAACCAAGATTCGAAAGCTACTTGGTTGTGATATTTATTTTAATTAACATTGTGGTTAAACTACATTCTTTACAATGATATAGAAAAATGCAAAAACAAAATAATAAAAACGTGGATTTTTTAAATACATTGTTTGTGTACAAACCTTCTTAATTGGAATTAAATTTGTTTCTACCAATCCACAATAAACATTAAATGCATTAATATCATCACGTTTGTTTTTGCTTCCATTGCAAGGCAACCTCATATTTACAAGATTTCTAAAAAAAAACTCAAGTTGACTTAAGACAATAATGGCCCCACCAATAATACAAGTGTCCTTTAATGAGTCAAAATTCTTCTTTATGTGGTTTTTGGCATGTACCCATATACTTACAAAACTAAAGATTATTCAAGTAGGTCATTATAATTAATTCTTCAACTAAAAATATTTATTAGTATTTTAAAGTAATTAAAATTTTGTATAAACACATGTACAAATACACATTCAACTTTATTTACAAACTATTAATTAATTATCAGAGCCAATGTTAAAACAACATAAATATAACATGCATCCATGCTACCAAATCCACCAAATTGAGACAAGCCGAATGTTCTAACTAATAAATATACTATTAATAGAAACATTCGATTTGTTAACTCTTTGTTCAAACTATTTTATTTTCACAAAAGGGGAGTGAACTTGTTCCTTGTTGAGAAAAATCGAGGTGCTTATTCATCCAACTTCTAAAAATGCACACAACTCAAAATGCCCACCACTACACAAAACAAACAAAAATAAATAAAATAAATAAACAAAACAATTCACACAGCCTTCGAAACTGGCACGGTATCACCGCCCGACTCCAGGACATCGTCGTCCACGGCGACTCGTTCAACCGCGTCGCAGCCGCCGGGAGGATGTCTAGCGACTAGCCGCAGACGCGCGGTGTGGGTAGCGTTTGTTTCCCCCCTTTCGAGGCCTGCTCGCTCGCTCTTGAGGGGGATGTAGTGAGCGAGAACACCACAGGAATTGGTCCTTCGGGGCTCACCGACAAAAGCACGCCGCAAAAGGAAGGCACGGGCGGATCGCCCATATTTCGGCGCTTCGATTGTTGCGTTTTTTTTAATCCTACAATCGTGACTTTGTTGACTTCGAGGCGCTGTCAGTGAAATGAATAAACCCTTCTCCTTCCTCCCTCACCCAGCATGCGGTTGAGATTTTAATTATCATTATTATTAATATGATAGAAGAATGGGAGCAATTGAAGGAAAATAGTGGGAAAAAGTTAAGAGATCAAGAAGAAGAAGAAGAAGCGAAACAACCAACGAAGAAAGCATCACTGGTGCATAATAATGCAGGTTTCATAGAGTTTGAGTGGTCAATAGTTGTGTGTACAATTACGATGTGGACTTCTGCTTTTGCTCTCGCGGAAAGATGTTGAAAAGTTCGTCGTCACATAATGGTCCCTTGTTTGCTTTCGGCAAATAGTGGACATTTATTCATGTATATATATTTCACTACCATAAATTCAAATTATATTAGTTTTATGAATAAAAACATGTAATCTACAGATTTATATACTGGAGAAGTCATAAGTAATAATCACAAAGAATCAATTAAAGTGAATATGAATAAAAAATTATAAAAATTAAAAGGATCTGCACATAGAGATAAATTTATTTTCTTAAAAGGAAAATAAAAAATAAATCGTAGAGTATGAAAAAGTGCCAAAATCTACATGGTTGTATAATCATCCAACAAGCCCTCAAATGCACCATGCCAGCCATATCTTGTGAGCTTATTGGATGTAGATTTTTCTCTAAAGAATTGCATGGTCATGAGAGATTCTAAAAGATTTTTATGGAAATAGTGTGTGGCGTGAAAAAAAGTCTTGGATCTTAAAGTTCTCTATATAAATATCCCATCATTCCGGAATCGTTCCAAAAACTTATCCAACAGCTTTTCTATAGTTAGATAATAATCAACCATAGCCTTGTCAACACCCTCTAGAATACCATGTCAATTTTCTTACTTCGAAATCTGTTTGTGCTCGAACAAATCCACAGGTAGGGTTCCACAATTCTTTTGATAATGCACAATGCTGAATTCTACATTCTAAATCACTCATACACATGCAGTATTATCTCATTTTCTGAAACATGAACTTCAATTCGACACTACCCACATCCAAATTTCTCTTAACAAATATTTCACTTCTACCAGATAAAAACATGAACTTCATACTTAAAAAGAAATCAAAATTAAAAACAAAGTAAAAAAAGACTGCTGTCTGTCTGCTCTTATAAAAAAATCAAGTTCTATCAAAACGTATACAGCGTTTCAGGAAGGGACAGAACAAGAAAATCGAACCCAACAAAGTCTGCATTATTTACACATATATAGATGTATAGAATTTGAAACCCTAATCTGCACAAATTTCCACATCGGGACCAGAAGAGGGGTGAAGCCTTCGGAGCCTGCACGTCCATATAAATCGATAGATAGATGAAGGATCTGGATGCGCTCCGGCGATGCGACAAAGCAGGCGCCACACCGACCATCGCGTGACGCTCTCGTGGGCCGAATCGCGCCGCCCCCGAGATTGAATCTGCAGTGGATGGGAGCTGTTATCTCGCTGGGGAACTGAAGTTTTCTCCTCGTGCCTTGCTCGAACCAAACCAGTGGTGTCAACTTTGCGGTGGCATGATCTGATTGATAGTGCTTACAATCAAGACTTGATTGTAACGCAGAGCAAAGTAACCGTGATTGCGCCGGAACCGTGGCCCTTGATCGTCTACCTTTGAATGACGGTATTGTTGGGGTTGGGTTGGGTTGGGGTGCAGTCTGTAGACGTCTATCATGGGTCGATATACCTACCGTTGCGTGTCATTGGAGTCTGATTGAAAGAGGCTGCAAGTTGCTCTTGGCTGGCTTGAATGTCTCCTTCGACAAACAGCCGTAGCGTCACAACTGGCACCCTCATTAGAAGAACCTGATCGTCAGAAAGAGTAATATTGGCGTCTTGCGAGTAACCTATCAGGAGAACTGAAGCTGAACTGAAGCGAAACAGAGCAGATTTCAACTTGAAAAACTTGAGAGTGAGAACGGTGTAGCTATAGATTCATGTGCGTGTGATTAGAGTCATGTATTTAGGGGACTTGTAATTCAAGACTATTGTGCTGTGTTTTGTCTTATTGCAGAATGATGTGATAGAACTTATTCCTTAACTTTTGTGATTTAACATCTGGTTTTATAATTCGTTGATATGGTTAACATAATGCCTAACGTAAAGCTGTGAAATGAAGTTCCTACATCATGTTGCTCTTGTCTTGTGTACAACTTCAATCTCATTATCCTGTGAACTGGGCTACGTGTACTTGATACCAATAGATCCAAACCATTTCTTTCTTTTTGTATCTATTACTTTCCGAGAAAGCTAACAGTATCACCATCTACTTTTATTTTTATTTTGTTTTTATTACAATTATAATTGTGGAGGTGTTTGAACTTGCAGCTAGCTCAAAGAAAAGATAGTATTATGTACGCATTATAATATGTCGAATGATTTTACTATCCAAGGCCCCAGAACACAGGTTTCCATATAGAGGCTGTGTGCGTAGTAAGGTCGTATGAAGTCTTGGAGACGCTCTCGTCTGCAGAACATTTGGATTGTCAAACGACGGCGGAGGACCATACGCCTTCTTAAATCAAAGATTGTGAACAGTTGAGACAAATGCTCAGACCCAGTACTGTTGAATCTAATGTCACGAGTGAGCTAAGCAGGCTAGAAACTATGACAGACAATAGACATCAAGCAACTTCTGGTATTGTTCACATGTTCATAGTTTCTCACAATGACAGGCTTAGGGCTCAATGATGTCTCCCCGGCTGCATAAGCTCGACTTTTAAAATGAGTCTTCTCACAACGTCGTAAAGTCCATCGTCACCAGTAGCAAGGGTCCGACTGTGCCACAAGGACTTAGTGCAGATCGAACAAGAGAGGTCATTGAAACGACACAAGGAGAGCTTATCAGAGAGGTGCACTGTAAGTTCTTTTTAATCCGGTTATTCTTTTCGCTAGACAGGATATCTTTATATCCATTATTATAGGCTCGTGACAAAGAAAAGGGCAGTGCTCTTGAATAATAATTGTCGAGTTATAATTTATTCCCATCATGTCACATGCACATGAAAAACCATAATTGATTTTTCTACAACTCCTGAAACTCGAGGTCCTTTCCATTGCTTACAAGCGAATAGAATCCCTGAACTAGGTTTCTTGAATGTGGATGCCTGATTGTAGATTGGCCAGTGAAGAATTGGACACTTGGCTACGGAACAGTAGCAAAAATGAAGAGCTTCAAGCATAGCAGAGGTGCAAGTTGAGGAGCAAACCAGTGTCAAAAAAAGCCAGTGCAGAGATTGAAGAATCGAAGGAGGTGATTCAATGTGTTAATTTCTCTCCAGAATACATCTGAATTGAAGACAGAGCTGAAAGGACTCAAGGAGTATGTGGATGCTAACCTAGATGTACCCTATTATTTGGCAATACTACACCATATATTTAGTTGTTAATCTATCTCCTGTTACCTCGCGACACATCCAACATAGAGTTATAGTCAGAAACTAACATATGTTTTGAAAGTAGGACCTGACGATGTAATGTCTAACAAGACACTTGGTATGCAATAATGCTCAACGATCTACCCTTAAACCAAAGATAGATCTTTAGACTCAATTCTCTGGGATTCGCTTCTAAAAGTGATTCTAGCGATCATTATCTTGCACTATCCTGTTCACACCAGCCGAGAAGTTAGGTGAGACATGAAGGAAGACAAAGACGACAATATTATTATATGGTAAGTGAAAAATGTTCGAAATTAATCACTGGGCACTGATCCACCCAAATATGCGCCGCCTGCAATTAGTTGTGGAACTTGAGAGGCTATATGGTAAACCGTTTGTGGACTTAAACAGGGCTAACCTCTCTAACGGTTAATCGAATTAACGATGTTGTTGGCCACATTAATCAACCATACCTCAATTGAGTACAAATTTTCTTGATTGAGTAATTAATCACTCGTATTGCGAGCCTGCCGGTTTGTACAGCGTCCTGCTGTAACATCCAGCCACGAAATTTCACAAACGTAGTTTTGCTCGAGATAATTGACTTTGTCTCAACAATTTAGCAGATATTCAATTTTTGAGGATAGCCACAAACAAGATAGCATCAAGCCAACAAGGATCACACCATACTGAAGACTCAATGTGAAAACCAGTGAGGCATTACTGAACCACAAAATTGTTATGAAGGAAAAAACTGCTCCAAGGTGATCTTCACTTCCGATCTCTCAGTGTTCCTGAAATAGGCGAAGTGCAACACAAACCAGATTGCAATGTTCCAATCGTGTGGTGAAAGACCTGAAAGCGAGATTCCATAAAAGCTACATGATACAAAACTAAGGACTTAGAAGAATAGTCCTACGGAATAATATCAGAACTGCCATGCGTAGCAACAAACCAAGATATGACATGGATCCAGATGTTACGTTAGGTGTCCATCACACGGTATGAAAGAGCGAATAATAGACCTCATTTGATTAAAACATAATTAGTAGCAGAGATAACCAAAAAAAACGATAACAGTGTAAAATACCGGCAGCTACACACAAAACATGTAAATGACCAGACGAGGCCTCGAGGATCATGTGAAACTCCATGAAAAAATTCACGGTTATATGCTAAAAAGATAAGAAACTATATAAAGGCAGGGAGCAGCACTGGCACTTTGTATACCTACTTTATTTATAGAGGAAACAAGAATGATTAGATTGTCATGATTTCACTTGCTTCCTATCACCTGATGTGATAGACACTTTGTTGTCTCCCACTGGGAGAAACGCCTTAAAATTACTACCAGATGCGACAGTCTCCACCCGATTCTCAGCTCCCACAGCAGTCCACACAGAGCTTCTTGGAGTGTTTACTGCATCGTCTATTTTGACCATCTTTGGCACCCAAAGAGAACTCTCCACCCTCTCCAGCTCTGGCCGATCTCGTGGGTGCTTGTTCAACACCGGACGAATAGGCAACCTACTCTGAACTGGGGAGACGTTTCCAGACATAGGAACTGCAGGAACCTGCATGGAGGCTGATGCGGCAGCGGCTGCGGCTGCGGCTGCGTCCGGTCCCCAAGGCATGGGCCAACCAGCACCCCATCCAGGTGACATCCATGATGGTCCAGGTAACCCAGCGGGCATCCCTGGAATGAGAGTCGATCCCCAGCAAACATTAGACCAAAGCCCATTCGGGGGTGCCGACCATGCAACCGCAGGCTGGCAGGATACCAACGTGCCTCCAGGTGGACAGGTTGGAGCGCCAGGGGCACCAGGAGCAGGACCGCTCCATCCAACATTGTAGCCATATGGCCACGAACCGTTGAAAAGCCCAAAAGGAGTAGGAGCCGCAGTCCAAACTGATCCGTCCAATATTCCCACTGGTCTAACAATACCCCCACAGACAGGTATAAGTGTCGTAGGAGGTCCCCTTAACATCGATTGCACTTCCTGAGAAGCTAGCGCTGCATCCACTTGGGGCGACCCAGGTAACGAACTTGTACAGGCCTCTGCACAATTCTCTGCTTCACCAGCTAAGACAGGTTCGCAACCACCACCGTGCTCAGCTTTGAGCAGCCTGTTGCCAGAATCACCAGAGACGTTCACTTGAGGTTCTGTTGAAAGAGTACAGAAAACATGTCAAGGATTCGCCATACAATAAGTTACTGACATTTCCTCTCACGCAAGCAAACGCCCACCCACATAAGTACCCAATAGCCAAAAATTCGAAGGAAAAAATTGAGCGTGATAGACACAAAAATAAATAATAAATTTCAAAACAATTAATTAAACAAATGTAGAGGATGAACTTGCACCGATGACATTAATCAAGAACCAGCAACGATAATCAGCACAACAAGAAGACGCATGTGAGAATAAAGCAAAGAGGACATGAAGATACAGAAGGATAATGCTATACCTGGAATGTGATGCTTTCTCACAGCTTCGGCAGGACGCATGGAGCAAGTTTGAGTGACAGCATCAGAGGAGCTCCTGTCTTGACTACTGGGGAGGCTAGTGATAGTACTCGGGCTGCTGGAACTTGAAGCAGGCAGAGGAGAAACCTGGTCAGGAACAGATGCTCCCCGTGAAAGACAAGGCCTCGATAGCGCCATGTCCGAGTCCTGCCTCGCCGCAGGAATATCAAGCAGCCCTCCATGGCGTACATGCGAGTTCCCGTGCTTGGTTTTCCTTCTCCCTGCTCCCACAGGAACATTCCGTAATGTGCCTCCCGCTGTCCAATATCTCTGGCAATTCTTGCAGAAGTGGCGTGGTTGATTGGCATTGTAATTGTTGTAGTAACAAAACTTCGTATCTAAACTGTCACATCTCGGACATGGCGCCAGTTTGTCAGGCTTCTTCAAGGCAGGCTTCTGGTGTTGGACCTTCGCTTGCTTAGGTGACGGTCCAACCAAGTCTCCATCAACTGGTGGAGGTCGCACAGATCCAACCGTGTCTTCATTGTCCGCAACTGCAAGTGGCCGTCGACCAACGGTACCTTCCTCAAGCTTGGCTGTTTGATGTTGCGGCGGCCCAAGCGCTTCTGTTCCTGCAGACTGATCAAGGCCAGACACTCCTGGAACTTCGTTCTGTAGTTCGTTCGCAAGTTCCTGCACAAAAAGAATGAACGTATATAAGTACGGTTCATGAGAAATACTGCTCTAGGCAAACTGAAACAGATGATTTTTTATTATTATCACTGAATGACGTCTATCATGCTTGACTACCCGATGATAGCAATCACATCCAACCTGACACTTGGAGTAACACTACAGCGCTCCTTGAAAGAAGCTTCGAAGTGGAAAGGAACGCATGAATCACTCACCAGAGACGAACCATCAGCCACGACATCCCCACTATTGCTCTTCAAGTGAATAGAGTCCAGCGGTTCGGTTTCTGACTCTTGCTTTTCGGAAGAAAGAGGAAAAGGTGTGACCACAATCTCATGCACACCTGCTACATCGCCTTGCAGCTTATCAGCCGCTCCGCTCAATCCCTGTTTGACATTGGATCTGTGCCACAATTTAGGAAACCATCATGAACTTGAAATAGCTCCCTTAAGTATTTCTAAAAACACACTGCACCGTGGCCTGTTTCAGGCACCCCCGTATTCAACGTCGTCACCTTAGCACCTCAACTAGCCACACTGAAACGCAAGGTTCATTTCGTGTGCGCATTCATAAATGGACCTTCATAATAAGGCATCCAGAAGGTGATGAGTCGAATCAGACTAACATCATCATCGTCTTCCACGTCGTTCGTGATGGGATTTTCGCAAGAAAGATGCGTTTTCACTTCTGAGGCATTCAACTCAAGCCCTGTTGTTTGCCCTTCGGCATCTTTTGAAATCAAACTCGGTTGTTGTCCCTGCGAAGAAACGGTAAAAACATTTAAAATTAAAAATTTAAAAAAAAGGTAGAACAAAATGAAATAAATTTAAGACACCCAGCAATACAAATAAGAACGATTAACTTTAGGTTGTATTCTGGTGCAAACGACTCAACCCTGAGCCAGTTGATTCTCTGTGTGAGACAAAGTATACATGCAAGCGACGTATCTCCCATGTTTGAAAACGAGTACTGTGACCCACAAGCCTGAAGTGAAATTTCTTAAGACCTAGAGTGCAACCGAGACGAAGAATAAACAGCTTCTATCCACACTCAAATATGCATGAACATTTCTCTGCAATAGCTTAGTAAAGACTGAAACCGTAAAATAGGCCAAAATTTTCTCTAATCATACCATATGCCGCAAGAAATCGGAATACTGCAAATATGAGATCGAAGTGAAGCAGAAGCCTAGTATTACCAGAATCACCTTGTTCCTATTCATGCGATCTGCGAGTCCCCCCTTCTCCCCTTCCGGCTGAGGTTGATGCAAGTAATGTTCCTTATGGGACCCCAAGTCATAGTTGACTGTGTTGGCATGAGTAGGTCCAGAGTAACCACAAAATCCAGGCCCTTCACCACTTAAACTCAAGTCTCCCAAAAAAACAGTGGCAGGCTTCGAAACCCTAGGCTCGTCACCGCCGTTTTCATGAGATGAGCTACCCATTGTTCACATCCTGTTCACAAACAAGGTCTTAAATTCGGAATGGATTGCACTAAAACCTGTCTACACTAGTCCTCAACCAGGATTTTTCTATGCGAAACCATGTGATGAAAAAAGAAATTGAAGCAAAAGTCTACTGATAGAGTGCAGACGAAGTGTCCCATAAGAGTTAAGCGATGAAGAATGGGTTCAAAAGGACCCATGTACATGATTGTTTTCCCTGTTACAGAGACAGAGGGAAAAGCCCTTACCTAAAGGATACAACATGAACAAACAAAATCAAGGGAGGACTCCAAAACAATATCACCCGGTCTCCGAATGGCGCTAAAGTAACTCCAAAAAAGAAAGCGGTATTGCACTGCCCTGACCACCCCTCCCCAAGGCACAACACAAACCGCCACCACTGGCTCAAAAATTTCAGACAACCCATCAACTAGCATGCCTGATCACCAAACACGGCCGCCGCCGACGACCGTTACACAACCAAAAGCGGAAATAGGCCGATTTCGGCACGCGAGCATAAAACCCACTGCAACTCGAGCCGGAAAACATCATCAGCGACACAGCACCCAAACTACACAAATATCGCTGGCGCATGCTAAAGGGCTCCGACCCAATTCGTCCTGTTTCCAGAATACTTACAGAAAGTTGTGCTTTTTAATTCGGCTACCCTGCGCGAGCTCTTGATCTATCACCAGCTCCCACTGTCTCCCCTTCCACACCCACACCAACAAAAACACACGCACACGCACGCACACGCACAAGCACTCTCTAACACACTAACACACTCTCACACACACTCTCTACTACACTCCTGGTCGGATCACAATTCCTTGCAAGAAAATCTCCCCGGCTATCAAACACACACAACACAATCACACCTCTAGCGTCTACCCTGGTTCCGGCACACTCACACTCTACGATCTTTCCTTTGCCCTACACGATTTCTCCCCAACTCTCTCTCCCTCTCTCTCTCTGCTTCCGCGCTACTCTGCCCAACCTAGCGACCGAGAACGATCTAACGAGCGAAAAAGGTAAGTTCGCGTTGAGGAACATGCGGAGAATCGAGAAACGAGAGGCGAGAGCGAGCGAGCGCAGGAGAGAGCGAGGAGACGAGATTGATCTGGTGGTCCACGTCAACTGGGGCCGCGCAGCGCAAGTGCATGGCCCTGCGCTCTCTGCTTCAGATGGTGCATGGACCTCCGCGACCCCCGCGCCACCCAACCCAGGTTCCCACACCACTCTTGTGGCACACACCCACACTGCCCTCTGACCTACCTGTCCCCGCGCCACCTCCTATCGCCGACCCCTTCCCTCCTCGTCCGACCTGGCAGCCCCTCGCCCGCCCGTTCCCCCCATGCGAGCCCATTCTCGCAGCGTCTCGCTTTTGGCCCGAGCCAATGCCCGGGCCGACGCCACAGTCTCGGTTCCTTCGACGACATCCGTCCACGTTAACGATTCTGTTGATATCATCCAAAATGTTAATTAATTAATTCTTCGTCTTAAGAATTAAAGTTATACAAATTATAGTAGGTATTCTTTTTATTGTAGTTATTTTAGTTGTTTAAAATTCACCACTTCAAAATCTATTGCAAATAGACAACACATTTGCTTCCAACCTCATTATTTTAAATCTTTGTTTATTACCATTTCTTTATGTGAAACCACAAAAATTAGTTGTCACATTGTTGTTTCAATGAATAATAGTTCATCGAATATTGGGTCCAATTCTATATGACATCAATTGACTTAGTTGATTGAAAACAATATAAAATTTAAAATCATAATTAATTTAATTGTTAGAATATATGTATATATGTATATATGTATGTATATTCACATACATAAATACACATAATTTGCATGCAAACAAATTAAGATACGTACACATGTACACGTGCAAAGAGTTAGAAGAATGCGTGTATGCAAAACAAAAGGAAAAAGGAGGGTGGAACGCAACAAACACACAAACACACAAGCAAGCATCAACGAGTTCCTCATGCACACTACATTGTTTTAAGAGACTCAAGCAACACCGAATCACAGATGCAGACACACACCCACACGTGCACAAAATGTGCGGAGAATGAGAAAGCGACGATCACTCGCAGCCGTTGCTTGGGAATCTAAGCAGGCAAAAGGGCACAGGAAAGTGCGAGGAGGTGGAGGGATGAAAGGCACAATGGAGCTGCAATGGCGGAGGAGGGTGTGGAGGAAGAGGTGCATGGGGTGGGAGTTCGGCCACCCATGCGGCGCCGCTGGTCTGTACAACCCAGTTGAGAAGAAAAAAAAGCTCCAGATCCAAGCGCCATTGAGGCGAGCTGATGCTGATGCTGATGCGGCGTCGTCCGTCGTGCACAGACAGCCAGCCACAGACATCGTTTGGATTGTAACGCTCGACTGAATTTTCCATACCTGTGAAATTGATTCGAACAGATCTTTTTTTTCAAGCCTATTGGTTCGGAGGGCGCGTCCCTCGCGGGATTCTACCCATTTAGCCCCACCGCGTAGTGAGCCGGCTTTCTTTAGCACCCCGCAGCATCGTTTGTTGCATCCCAGTGCTCACTTATCCATGTGCCTTGTTGCCAATCTGACTCCTAACGTGGCAAGCACTAGTTCGACAGCGGGTCTCCATGATGGCTGCCCCACCTTTTTCTGCTTCGCTATAGTTTCGGTAACGAACCACTCCACTGCTGAAAATAACCATGGTAGTAACCGCTACAAGACAAACGCTGGTTTGGACCTCGACATGGGGTGTTTGCTAAATTTCTTTGGTTCCCAATGTCACAGGCACATGTGGACGCCTACACATCACATCGGTATCTAGAAGGGCATGCTATCCAATCTTATCTAGAAGTATGTAGAATGGTCTTTCCCTATGTGGTGCCAGTGCTCACATGTTACTGGCACCGGCAGGATATTTCCACTGGGTACCACGTACAAATGTGGTAAGGCTCTCATAAAGAGTATTACATCGTCTCGTGATCGTCACGAACGGTGCCTGTTATTACCCAGTTCGGTCACATCGTACAAGTTTGTGCTAAGTTTCAGTTTCTTACTTTCCCTTCATCTTCGCTTCCTGCAGTGGGCGTTGAATTAGTCTTGTCTCACAGACTAGCCAACCATATAGCCTCCTTAATATTTCTCTGGTCAGCGTGGATAAATTATGAGGCACGGTTTTCAAGCAACTGTGTGTATCTACTCCGTGGGTCACTGTGATCCAACTTGGAACCCTTACACCCGACGGCAATGCATAAAGCTCCAATTAACAACACATTGTAGTTCTCACTGTTGGATTTGAGGAGTCGACGTTTTTATTTTTGACTTTGATTAGCAGGTCTGTCGTGACTATTCAGTGTGTGCATTCATTTAACTTTGCAATCTGTATTTGATTAGGATTAAATACGCGTCGAAAACCGCCTTTTAAAAACAAGTGCGGAAACCACAAGCAGAGGACTTGACAACGAAGAAGTCACTCTCTTCGTTCTTCTCCATGTGCCTCCCAGAAATGACATGCCACACTCCAAGAGAAAAAGGTATCGATATGCAATAGATCACCAATCATATCGTTTACAATACTTGTATTTCACTGGGGAGGAATTGTGACTTCAATAATAAAATTCATTGGCACTGTTGAAACTAAGAGAACTTTCGAGACCGGCTTACCCCGATGATGAAAGATCCAGTCCATTGCCTACCTACAAAGAAGTGCAACAACATGGTGCCCTGGCTACCATTCAAAGACCGACCGAAAGAGTAGGAGACCAAAGAAATAGCGATGGAGTTGAATGTGTTTTAAGGACCAGATTTTTGAGCACCTGCTCTACAACGAATTAACGAAGTGTTCGCCACAACCGAACCGTGCAAGGAATCGTCGTTGACAATTTTCTGACGAAAGGTCTGTCGAAGCAGAAGCAGCTGTTTTCTCTGGTCGCCATGGCCATTGGCTCGTTCAGAAGTCATAATTACTCATCTGCTGAGGGGGAAATAACAAGACATTTTCCGATTTCAACCCCTCAGGCATCAGCTCCCAAGTTCATAAAAACTCATACTGCTCGCCTCTCCGTTTCTCTTCTTTAGCACCCTCAAGCATAGATGATAGTTGTGGAAAAGGAGTTGCTGTTGGACAGACCCCCCCCCCCCGATCATTCCAAAATAGAACTAGACATCAAGCGGGATATAACCATAAGCTAGATATCTACTATTAGCGACCAGTGTAATTCTCTTGTAAAAAGCCGAAAGCCTCGGAAGTAAAATGCAGTTCGCCTCGGTACATTTGCAGTAGTGTCCTTTTTCTTGAGGTTAATCTTCTGTGTTTACGTTGTCGCTGTTCAACTACAGAGTGTTTACATTATTTTCGGTGACCATTTATAGAGAATAGCTTTGCTTGAGTGTATCATTGAATGTGCTAGTCTTCTGATCGAGACATCACAATAGTTGAAACTTCTGGTATCTGGCGCCTACTACCACTTTTCGAACTGCTCAGTTCTACTTCCTCCTCAAAATTCCCAGCACTGAAGAGCCAAAACTTAACCAGTTAAAATCCAGAGAGGACAAACGACCTCGATGTCGAAGAAATGGACTAAGCTGCGACCAAAGAACATTGAAAATAGTGACGTCCTAACCCAACAAAAACATGTAAGAAAAAAAAAACGCGAAAAAAAAAAAAAAAAAAAAAAGTGGTCCCAACAACCTTTCAGAAGAGGAACGATAAAGTCCAGCTGATAGACTGCCACGAATTTAGCACCCCAGAAGTGTTTTGCGAGAATTAACACAGCATCAAACCCCCCCCCCCCAGAATTATAAAACTTAACCGGGTCAGTTAAGCTTTCGTCTCGATTAATAGGTAACTAAAGGTCGATTTCCACCCAATTAAAGAACCTCTCCCATGCAAAAAAAAAAAAAAAAAAAAAAAAAAAAAAATCCCAAACGTCGAGAAACATCCCACTATTTTCGTTATTCATTATTTTTAGCACTTCCGCCGAAACACGAATTACCCATTCAGTAAAGTAGGTCACTATCTCAAGTTTTGCGTCTGTAATAAGAAAGATCCACAGGCCACGTCGGCAAGATGGACCTGCCGTGGCTACCAGCCCTTATGACCAGCCAATCTGCACTGAATCCCAACACTCCAACACACAAGAACTGACCTACGAAACCTGTCGGAAACCAGCGGCAGGATTGCAACGATGAAAATGCGCAGGTACGGATCCGTACAGTCGGATGTTATCGTGCCCAATTCCATTCAACTCAGTAAGCTCCGCTGTAGAAAGGAGCCAGAACAAGCGTCCCCGATCCCAGAAAGATATGACGAAGTGAGCAAACCCTGAAGACAACCAGTGAAGGAAGGAAAGGGTTATGAGCAGGACACGAATCACAGCGACGAAGAAGATGATGGAGGGGGGCCTCAAGGCAAATTTGCGAGACGGGGAGCGTGAATTTGCAGCCTTGGCAGAGGAGCAATTCACGAGGTGGCTCACGCCCAGGGAGGGGCGCCCATGGACAGAGCCCGGACGACTGGATGATTTTGGGAGTAGATGTATCTTTTTTCATTCATTTGTGTGGATGAATAAAGAGGACCCAGGAGAACCAAGTGAGGGTGGCCAAAAGTGGACGACATTGTGGGATCATGTTTAATTAATTTGCCTGTTTGTATATTTCTTGTAGGAGAAGGGTGAAATGGTGATGTGATACAATTGAATTTTAGTGGAATCTAGTAGTTTAGGGTTTTGTATGTTTAAGAGTTTATAAATATTTTAAAGAATAGGGAATAACAAAAATTCAGATAGTAGACATGAATTCAACAATAGTTGATTTTTTCGGGAAAAAAGAAGAAATTGTTAAGAATTAAAAACAAAAAAAGCATTTTTTAGGCCACTTTTAGTTGACTGTTATGGCTTCTTGTGCTTTATGGTTGTGCAGAAGCGCAAGGGAAGTAGTAAAGTGGTTTTATGAGGCAATTATTTATAAGGTGACAAAACTTCAATTTATTAATGAATAAGCTATGATAGTAGCATTTAATAGTCATATACACTCACATCAATATAGATTAAAAGAAAATCAAATCTTTGGATTTAAAAAAATATGTAAGATTTATTGTAAAAATAAACTTCAAAATATTAAAATTAAACATAACTTT